AATATCGATTAGCGTAGAATCACACTTTTTTGTTCTAATAGCTCGCTCTAAAGCCTCCTTATCTCTACAATACTGCTGCTACAATGCCACCAAAGCTAAACCTCACATCTGAAGAGTGGGCATCACGAAAGAAGGCTCTTAAGCAAAAGTTAAATAGAGCCTATAAAAGCTTTGCAAAGGGTACACTAAGTTCAACTAGGTATAACTACTATTAGCCTCTTCTTTGCCATCTCTTATACTAACCTGCTTGCAGTGAGCAACTAGAATATTACTTCTACCCCACGCCCACCAGTTCTCAAAACCTTGAACCTATGCCTACAATACCACCAGTATCTTCGGTTATCACGCCCGCAATTCCTCCAAATCTTACACCGCCATTACCTATACCTCTACTAGTATCCTCTGATACTGCAGCCCAGCTTCCCACACGAAGCCCTAGAGTCCCAACTAGCCTCCTACCACTCCATATACTACAGTCCGGACCCAGAACTATAGATGCTACAACGCTACCAATATAGCATTCTAGCACACCACTAATAACATTACCAAGTCCAGTATATAAGAATACCTATACGACTCTAGAAGCGCCTTCCACTCTTAGCCTTGAGGGCTTAGCTATTGAGGATCTAGATATCACAACGGAATTCGGCTGTGATGGAACTGAGCAAGCTCCCTCCATTTCAGACTCATTTGACTTTTCTCCATGGATTGATACCGACTTCGCCGCACTTTTAGACGATATTCATGTTAGCGATAATCCCCATAGCCACAGAGATACATCACCTGCACCTTTAGTAGTTGATTTAGACCGAGTCGCCCATTAAAGCTTATCCCCAGGTACGCTAAGCACTCTATCAAGACTATAGGCAGGGGCAGGAGGACCCTTGGGGGTCCTTACCCCCCTTCCCCTTCTTGTTTCCCAATCCTTTGCTAATTGCATTTATAGTTAAGTCTCACATAAGCACTAATACACCTACTTATCCACTTTCCAATGCACTTAGACACTATATTAGCACAATCTGCGACTATAGCGCACCACCACGATCTATAGGCTCACGTCTACATATATGGACCCAGTGGATGAATAGTTGTATGCCAACACTTGTTCCCAGTGTACCTGTACATCCACAACCCTTAATACTACCAAAGGCCCTAGCTCGTTATCCTCACAGCGAGACTCGGAACTTTCGCGCTTAGGCTGAGCCTCTTACTAGTGTTTCTGACCCAGATCTTTATGATGCCCCTTCTCTAAGCCTAGATCGCACTGAGGCGCACTTCCTAGCTAAAACAAATGGAATTCATCACCTTATCCAGAGGTTCGACTGCGATAGCATTGTCTTCTCGCCATCTAGTCTAGGTATCTTCCAGTATAATCTTTCTGTCTCCTTTCTTCCAGCCTTCTCTGAGGGTTTTACTGGCAATCAACACATATCCTTTTCGCCTATAAACCTATTACATCATAAAAACGTTCTCTTCGGGACTTGTCATGGCTTTAGGTGCCACATATTCTGGCCCCATTTTCCTCATTAATTCAGCACGCCTAATGGGAGGATGATAACTGGACAGTCACAACATCTTCCAGATTACGCATTAGCTCGATGGCTTGAGGCTATTCTCCTTCCTGCCTTACGTCGTGTATGCGACCCTAGTAGTTCGAGCCACTATCCTATAAGCTTTACTCAACTTAAGGCAAATTCGAAAGTAAGGCTAGAACAAAGTCACACATAGTCTCTTAGTGATCATCGCATTAATACCCATCACGACGTCTCAAAATAGATCCTTCAGCCTTTATGGGATGCTATTATGGAACTAGCTGAACATGTTACTTTTCCTGGGTTCAATATTCCTCAGAACGCCTTTAGTAAACCTATTCTTATCATATCTCGCCACAACCTGAAGCTATCCGAACTTAGTGGACATCTCACATTCCATTCATACCATACAGCCTTGGAGAAATTTATCGATTCCTACTGGGATAGAGGTTTCCTGGATCCATCTCGCTTTTATTGGGACCTTGGGATCCAAACAGGTTCGAACCTTCCTGGCACAACTACACTACGAAAATCTTACTACTTGCGGCAATGGACTTCCTTCTTTAACCATAGTAACACTGCATCACGCTCTAAACCAAGATTTTACACCTTTACTAGGACTGATGTAGGATCTGCTGAGCTTAAGCTTCGCTACAGCAACCAGTTCTATTATGCTAGGATTAGACATGTCAAAGCCTATAATACTATTAAAGAGATTACTTATGCACCTATTCGTGGATATGGACTCTTTACAAACCCTCAACTGGAACTTCTTGGTGCCACCCAACAATTCCTAAATAAACTCAAGTTCAGTGACACAGGGCGTACTGAGCAAACTATTGTCTACATTAAATAAATCCTTACTCAACTTGAGCTCTATAAAGCTAGGGTTCGTGTGATTACCTCACCTAAATCCTGCCAGGTATCCTACTTTAACCGCCAAGAACTTCGCCTCTAGTTAAGCCAATTGAGGACTGCATTAGTTACACTTGACATTAATAATACAGAACATGTAGCTCAGTCTAGTACCAGTCCTTATCGTGCGTTCTAGATCTTACCTACCCACGAGGTTAATTACTTCCGTGCTACTAAATGCAATCATTGGCTAGCAGCCTTGGAATCTATTACTGCTTTTACCTATCATCTTAACCCAAGCACTAAAGACCAGGAAATTAACTACATTGCTATCACTGCATTTACTCACACTCTCCACTTTGTGTTAAATTACGAGGACTTAAGCAGTCTTCCCTCTCTTGGCTTAGGGAAAGAGTATCGTAGACCACGTGTCTTTAAACCATAACAACAAACACCAGGTAGTACTATTTTACCAAAGAACCACAAAACGTTAAAACCTCAGCGACGCCAAGGCCTTGAATATGCTAATTCTATTAAGCAATTTGGCATTATATGGATCCCCTTTCGCCTAGGCATCTGGAATGAAGTAATTCCAAAATTCCGCCTAAGTAAATATCCTTACCTAGATATCTACTATCACGTTCTCTAGAAATCTAAGCGACGCCTCTACCTCCACACAATACACACTACTAAAGCATATCAGTTTAAGTTCATCTGTTATCTAGTTGAATCTACTTTTGCTATTAGTCAAGAAACTCCTACTATAAAGGTATGGCAAAAACTATTCTTCTTACTCGCTATATAGGTAGTAAGAGCATATAACCTCTTTGTCTTAGAGATTATTAGACAACGCTGGCTAGCCCATAGTAAAGCTGGGAATCGCAAACAACTGGATCTCTTCTTCCAACAAGCACAGATAAAGAATGCAGCAACTCGAGGAGCTATAATTCTATCTTTCTCTAGTATATCTAAGCTTATTCGAGGGCGGCTAGGTCTTAGCTATCTAGAGATTGTAAAGCAGCAGAACAACAAGGCAACCTTTTTTCGAACTTTCAGCAATAGGACCTGGTAGGGTAGAGTTACACCATTATTCACACTAGCAAATAGTAACCCAGCCTAGTTACAAAGTGCACCCCAGATACAAATAATTTTATCTCATCTAGAAGCCTTTAAAATAGTGCTTCTAGAACACGCACTTAAACAGATCTACACTCTCTACCAGGCATTTCTTTCACAAATTACATGTGTCTATGTGCAGGGTATCTTGCACTATTCTCGGAATAGGGCCTTAGAGCTTATTAGCTTCAATAAGTTAATACATCCAGGGGCTACACAAGATTAAAGAATAGCACAAAGCGACCTATAGCGAACAAAGTGGATGTTTCCTCATATTGCACCAAGTAACCAATAAATATTCCAACATGTCTACACTATATAACAGCGGTTATTAGCATCTAAAGTACGGGAGGTGCTTGAGCGCTGTCACACTTTTACTCATGGCGATAAGGGAGATGTTTCAGCCCACCCATACCTACTATCTAACTCGAGCGATCTAGGGTCTTTACCCACCATACTTAGTTATATTAAGAGATTCAACACCAAGTTTAATGAATGGAAGGCTAATCTAAGTGAAAATGAAGAGGAAGATAGTGACTGGCCAGTTCGACCTACTATAAATACTATAGATAGATATCTTGCCTCTAAAAGTAATGAAGAGAGCACCATGTCAGAATTTAATAGCTTATAGTTGTCTTTAAATCTAGCCTAATGAAAATTTACTTTAAAGTTTATAATCACGTTAACTCGCTTCTATATTTCCTCAATTCTATAGATTAAGCTATTCTTTTAAAATATCTTTATTATATATATAAGCGCACTATTATACTCTCTATACTAGGCCGTGATACATTTACCACTCCCTAATATATAAGCCGAAACACTAGGCAGTTAAGACTAGCTTTGCGATCTAATTTACATGTACTAAGTAGTTAGATAGAGCGCCGCACGAAAACGGCTAATATAGTTTGCTAAGATAGGCTAAGTAAGCACTATAGCGACGCGTCGCGTCGCGTCTATGCCAAACCCACTATAAGGCCTTACCTCTCACCACGTCTACAACTACCCACATCAATTTTGCTACCATGGCACAGCAACTATCTAATTCCAGTGAGGTTAGTAAATGCCAGAAGCAAGCGCGGAAAAAGAAAGCCACCAAGAAACTGCGCCATAGATTATCTCTGGCCACACCTACCAATGCACAAGGGGAGCCTTTATTTCCATCCAGCAAGTCTATAGTTTAAGCAGCTAGGCCTACACGTTTAAAGACAGGCCTTTTTGACTCTCATGTAAACGCTAGACGCATATTATGGGATGGAGAGCTGCCTAAACATGAGGAGTCTGTGTAAGAATTTCCCGTGTGTATATAACTGGCTCTACTAAGTAAATAGGGCCCACAACGAAGAGCCTAGAACGATTTAAGAGTCGTCACCACCACCAAATCCCACAACTCCTACCCGCAACCGTTCACCTACCATGAGCCTATTATCCCACGCTTCTCCCAAAACTACATCTGCACCTTCTTAGATAGTATCACAATATGCGCAGCACACTCCTATAAAGTTATATACCAGCTATGCACCGAGTATAGAGGAAGGCTCTCATACTAGGAGGCCATCTACACCTACTACTAGATTAGAACCACACACCCATGCACCTAGCCATGAAGAGTAGTTACTAGGATTTGAGCGGCGCCAATAGCGACTAGAGGAAGAGGCAGAACTTAGGCGCCAATTACTGGTGGCTGCGGATAGGAATAAGGCCAAGTTATCATCGACATTGGAAGCTAATATTTATAGGAAGGGGTTGGTTGTGCATGCAATTGACCTTGCGGATGCCACTCACAGGCTAATAGAATATGTAATGGTACGAGAGGATAGCGAAGCTACCGAGCGGCATGTATTTAAATACAATATAGAGGCAACGGTAGAGGGATTGGAGCGCAAGGGTAAGTCGCGTGTGCCGTGGGGACTTAGGGAAACCCAAGAACTCCTGACATTGTATGCCGTTCATGGGGCGCGAAAACAACCATTTGTAAGAATAAGGCTTGCGGATAAACACTAAAACGGGATCTTATTGGCCAATGGGCGTACCAATGTCGACATTAAGGACAAGATGTGTACCGAAGTCAAACGCATGTGCAGGTAAGACCCATATACAGTTACGCACACACACACACTTATAAATATAGGTTGGTAATGGAACCTGTCCACCCTACCTTTCTCTTGGCCATAGGCGAGCGTGATAAGCAACACTTGAGGTTAGCAGGGTATACACGGTGGGAAAAGAGGGCGCGGCCAGTATGATATCCAAAGGGGCAGTTCAAATTCGCTGTGCCAAACGTACCTACACTGGCCCTAGGGGGGTAGGGGCGGGGAGACCCTTCGGCGTGGTATATTACTCTTAGAATTCTAGGTGCTTCAATATAGCGGTATACGATCCCACCCGTACTACTATAGTGTAGATGGGGAGGGGCTGGAAGACCCCTAGCGCTAGCGCCGGATAATCCTCGGCAACCTACAGTCGCGCTAAAGGCAAGTTACCTAGCTCCAGGCAACCTCTACCTCAACACCACACCTTATTTATTAAACAATTAATCTATCCGCAATCACTACCTCACCACCAACTCGCGCAGCCTTAATCTTAATCGCGTGTAAGTAAACAACGCGCTCGCTACAATATGCAGGCAAAATCATTTAATTTGGTCACTACTCTGGCCCAGGGCGACTGCGTTTTACTGCCTCTACCAAAATTGAGCCCCGCCAAAACCGAGAATTAGCTGACAAACGGACAGCTCTAGCACCCTAGGGGGTCTTCCAGCCCCCGCCCTCACACTCCCTTTGGCCACCGCCCTTAAAGTCCTGACCGACAACACTGGGGGTCTTGGAGCCCCTCCCTTCCCTTCCAACCATTAAACTGAATATCCTTGAACCGCCGTGGTCGATTCTTAAGTATGAAAAGAGCTGGGGATATGTGGTTTCTATTCGCCTTTGGGCGAGCGGGCTTTCTTTTTCATTCAATTAACATGTCTGTATTACATTTTGCTCACGTTTTCTTTCTAGTCTTTATTTATTTCCTTCTCTTATCTTCTTTATTCTAGTTTGACATACGACAGCTCCACTAAGATTGTCATGTAAGTCCTAGGTCCTTTAGGGGTGGGGCTCTAAGACCCCCGGGGGTCTTCCAGCCCCTCCCTTCTCTATCCTCTTACTAACTTGCATTCAGGGCTAGCGATGAGACATTATCCCCGGGTCCAACCCCTCCGGTTACCGCTGAACAAGGCCATGTGCAAGATGACTTAGATGTTTCCCTTAATCTTAACGAGATGCGCGAGTCCTATGTTCATGTCCCTAACACATTGAGCATGTTAGTCATTCAGTAGCCATTTTAAGAAACCGTTCTATGGAAACAGACCATCATGAGCAAGAAGGGTCAACGCCCCTTGGACGACGACTGTGGGAAAATGATGGGCTGGAAACCAGAGACCGTGACCAAGCTTAAGTACGATAGAGATGTTATGGAGCTAATCCTCTACGCCATTAACCAATCGAAAGAAGGAGGCAAGTTCTATAAAGCCGACCGCCTTACTACGCTCGATATCTTACACAAGAAGTTCGCGGAGGTAGCCCTACCTTAGCTATAGATCTATCTCCACGTGTGGGACTTTACCCTTCTTAACTATGAAGAGCTTGTGTTCTACACGATATATCGCCTCTGAGACATCCATCTCACCCTGCCGTCCTCGTCGTATTATAATAAGGATCTCCCCGCGTCTCTTCGCGCCGACCGTGCAGTATTCCTGTGGAAGTGGCTGGATGGATATTACCATAAATGAAAGCAGTCTCACAAGACAAAGACCCAACAGCCTACTCTAGAACCGAGCCATACCTCTGAGAGCCGCCGTAAAGCCCGTCGACAGCTGTTCTGCGCCAACACAAACGCCAACTTCGTTTACAACGGAGATCTGACTTTATAGGACACAAAAAAGAATGCGGCTATTTTTCGAGCCATTCAGCGATGATGGGCTAACGCCGCCATAACGTACAATGCATAGAAATCGAAGATTAATACTACCTCGGGCACCGCCAATAATGTTAATGAGGAGCTGCAGGAAATGCGCAAGACTGAGACCCGTCTGATGTTATATGTCGAAGAGCAGGCAAAAATTCTGGATTCCCTACCTAACGATGACGACGCGCTAGAAGAGTTCATGGATGCCTTTACTCGGAAGTGCGAAGAGATTAATCCTAATGGGCTGGATGGCTGTACCGAAAGTGAATTAGAAGATTTATATTAGATATAACAAGTAAAGAAGAAGACCGCCACTACTACTACTGCTACCACCGCCTCTTACGCTCCTAGACCATGTCCTGTCCCTACACAGGACAGCGACACTGAGGACGATGATGAAATAACCAAGGATGAGTACGAAGCGATGTTTAAAAAGTTCTCTTACTCTAATAAAGTAAAGGCTATTAGTCCAGGCTCTAGTAGACATTACCTACGTCAGCAGTTTCTGCTGAAGACCTTAAGGACCGACCGCTATAAGAAGCAGCAATGGAATCCGCGGTGGCAGTGGACCTATGTGGACGAAGAAGGTCACGAGCGCCCTATCGGCTCATCACATCTAGAGATAGCTACCAATTGGGAGAAGAAGGACACCCTTTTGCCTGGTTTACCTGCGGCCTGGGTTGATCGCGATAGCCATGGGAATCCTCGCCCTGACCCCTACGATAATCCCTCGCGCCCGGATGGACAAGACGTTGACCCTGTCAGCCTTTTCATATATGATGCTCGGCTACAAGGGGAAGATCTCGCCAACAACGCAAAGCGCCAGTAGATATAGTTTTGGAATCTGATAAGTCTGTCCAAGAGTAAAGTGGTGGACAGTAACGGCAACTTTGTTAAGGTTGTACCTAAAACCTTTACAGAAGACCCCAAATTCCATAATCTCAACCTTCGCTCTAATGTTGCCTAAGATATACAGCATGAAACAGCTGTTCCCAATCTTAATTCAACCAAAAACCTCACCCAGTACAAATTCTGGGAACCATTTACATCAGATGAGCTAGAAGCACAGATAGAACAGCGGCATAACATGAATAAGCTTACCCAGTTAGTAAGGTCGAGGATGCAACCAAAAGATTATCAACACGCACTACGCTCTATCCAGGCTGAGAGCCACTTAGTACCAGCACCTCCTGGATGGAATCGCCAGAAAGCACCGATATGGCCGCAGACTACTGGAGCCAACCGTTTTGTGACTACCATTGAGCACATCACAGCCACCATCTAGACCTTTAAGAAGAAGGTTCGCGAGTGGAAGAAGTCTGACAAGAAAGGACTAAAGCCTAGTTACCCTAGTCATGTGAATGGCCGGATGTGCTTAGATGGCACCGGTACCGGCAAAACACTCCTCGCACTACTCGTTATCCTAGTGGTTTGTTTGCCCTTCCCTAGAGCCCGGGAGCAGGGGCCTGAAGACCCCCCGACACCGGGGGTCTTCTAGCCCCTCGCTTCCTAACGCCAACTATACCCTTGTATCCCGGGGGTCTTGACCCCCCTCTCCAGTCTTATCCATCTACTAATACTTCCATAGAACCTAAATAAGCGTAAAGCACGTATGCAGGCCATTATTAATACCAACAACGCTGATGCGATGCTGGATTTCGACAAGCCAAAAGCCAACTTTTGGTTTACGCCATCCCATCTTATTCATTAGACTGCTGTCGAGCTTCACGGCGCTGCGGGTGACATCCTCCACATCATGGAGTGTTGGTCGCGGAAGCGGGATAAGACGAAGTCCTTTCTGGTAGGTAATGTTAAGCACACGGTCCTTAATGCGAATCTAACCACAAAGTCAGAACTTCTTTCCCTGGACAATGAACTGACGGCCCATATAGTTATAGTGATGTCGTACCATCTCGCTGGTAAACGTTATGGTGTACCAATATAGACCAAATGGATTGCCGCCAACAAACACAAAAAGGTCTTCAAGGACATCAGGTTCGATCCTACTAAGCCGATTATTGAATGTCTAGAGCAACTTTTCAACTGTGCCCACATTGTCATTGGTGACGAATTGCACACCATTAAGAATCCCTCTGTAAATATGCACACGGCTTTCCGCTTTATTAGCGCTGAGGCTCACTTCGTTCTACTCATGACGGCAACCCCCACGCCCTGGTCCCATGAGGATCTAGTGGGTCAGCTAAACGTTATCTACAACCCTCAGCTTAACGACAACGTATCTGACCTTACTATAGAGGAATGCCGCCAGCTTTACATGGATGCTTGCCTACTAGAGCGCCGTGCCCTCCACTTAACCGCCAATGCTTACGCCAAAGCCTTTCCAAGTGTTTTCAAAGACAAGGTTGCCATCGGCAACGCGTAACGCATGATCTATGAAGCCTTTATAATTCGCCGTGATTATAGGTCGTCCTGTGAGGTGCTATACCACGAGGTGCGCGGCTCGAAAGAACATTCCCTTAATGCCATTATGCCCACGTGTAGGTGCGTCCGCCTAGCACTATAGTACCCTAGTGATCTACAGGAACTCCATGATCAAGAAGCCGAAATATTCTATAAAGATATAGCAACACCCGCATCTAAAGAAGATCCTGATAAGATGGTTATAAACGGCCGGAAAGTGCGCATTCTCTAGATTATGGCGTCTATTGTCTACTTCTGTTTTACCAAGAACCTTCACAATGTCAAGGTCAACGAAGAGTAATTGGGCGAGCTGGTGTAAGAAGATGTGGACTCTTCCGAAGATGGTGATGACGCTGACGCTGAGCCTACAAAACCGCCGGATTCTGATATGTCCAGTGATGGTGACGACAGTGATGTAGGGCCCGAGGCCCCAACTACTGGCTAGAAGCGCAGATCCAAGGCCAAGAAGAAAGCACCGAAGCGTGCCAAGAAGAAGAAGATTCTTAGCAAGGCCACCATGAAGGATGATTCGGACAGTGACGAGCTGCCTCGTTAATCTGCCCGTGACACCAAGCGAACCAGGCAAATGGCTGCTGAAGAGAAACAACTCTGTAAAGAGGCCGCCGGTAAGTGTGCGCAGAGGAGATGGGGCTCTAAGACCCCTAGGGGTCTTCCAGCCCCTCCCCTCCATCCCTTCCCTTGTCTCAGCTAACATATCCTTAGAGAAGAAAGCAGCAAATAAGTCGAAGTATGCCAACCCACACTTGTCTAAGTATGCGCGCTGGTTCGATGAATGTAAGGACCACCTCTTTCTTCGTCAATTCTTCACCGATATAGATGATGGTATGCAAATAGAATTCTACTCGGCAAAAACCAATGAGAAGGGTTACAAGACGTTCTGGACGAAAAAGTACTCACGCCCTGACGAATCTCCTACTAATAATCCTAATAATACCGCGTCGACGATTAAGGCCACCAAGTATCTTTAGCTCCTCGGCAAGATATCTCCGCGCATTCGCGCCCTTTGGGGTCTTATGGCCGACATTTATGCCTTATAGGGTCGTAAACTGGTCATCTTTTGCTTGTCACCGCTTGAGCAGATGCTGGTAGCCATTACTCTTCGTGTCCTAGGTTTGCGCGCCTCAGCTCTGCTTTTAACATCCACCAATAATGAGCGCGAAGTGCTCCTATCCTCCTTTAATTCTTCCTTCAATCCGGATTCGCAGTCCGCCTGCCAGATCCTCATCCTTTCCTATCTGATGAATTCAGGTTTGAATCTCTAGGAGTACTGTTCTCATCTCATTGCGTTCTCTCCACCAACCAGCATGTCAACATGGCTCCAGGCCATTGGACGTATCTGTCGTTACGGTCAGACCCATCCATGTCTTGTTATTCAACTGTACATGCACAACACCTTTAATGAGAACCAGAATGTTCATGCGACCAACAACTTCCTGTCCACATTTTGGGCCGGCTTAGATGTGGAGAACCTGGACCAGATTGGTATCGACCACAACCGTATGGATGGCAACTATTGTTTTTGGAAGAACAAGATATATCCCAAGGACGACCCCAGTTTGCCTACAGTTATCCGCAAACACCCCCTAACATCTAACCAACTCGTTCATAAGCTCTTCTCGATGCAGGACCATGTAACGGTCGAGATCAAGGAGACTGGGATAGGTCTGGAGGGCGTGAAGGGTAAGGATGTTATGACACGCTCCCAGGTTGTCGAGCACAAGGCCACTCCCCCATTGACACCAAAAAAGCCCAGAGCTCCTGTAATCGACAATGATGCTCTCGCGAGCACTGCCCTTGCAGCGATTACATCTCCACATTAACCGCCTAAGCTGAACGGTGGTGACGCTTGGTTCAATCCCACGCGTACTGACATCGAGAAGCATTTAAAGTTGAACTGGAATACGGATGGCAAGAGTAGGAGTACCATTGGCAAATGATAGGCTGTAGCCAAGAAGCTTGCATGGAGTTAGCTTGAGGAGCTCTATACCGGAATGGGCCAACGTGAGAAGGCTAGTTTTAGGTAGAAGCGTGGCAAGAACGCCGATCTCGCTTACCCTAAGTAGCCTGACTTCTGGCTTCTATCTGGTTGAGTGAGATATTATGGAACCTAATCATGTACTGTATTTGTCCTCTTACGGTGGACTTGTGCTTGTGGAATATCCATGACAATAGCTAAGACTAGTAATTCAAGAGCGTTGCTCCAAGATATGCCTACTAACTTGCGTGAATGTCTAACTTGAGTACTATGTTAGATGCCCTTGGCCCTACCCTTAATCTACGCGCATAGAGAAGATGGACCTCTTATAGGAGGGGCGTGAAGACCCCTATTTATTAGGGGTCTTCACGCCCCTCCCCCTCCATACTTACAATAAACTTAGTCGAACTAATCGACCTAGTCACATATAAGGAATAGAGATTTAAGTGTCTCATAAGGAACCACTAGTACTTAAGCGAGGTAACTTAACATCCTATCTCCATAAATTTTGCAAATTTTCCCTCAAGTCTAATTTACTTCCTTGCTTCTATGAAGTTTGATTTATTTACAATTACTCAACTAAGCCAAAACAAAAGGCCCCTACGCAACGCCAAGGTTGTTGCTATAGGAATAGAAGAATATAAATCCTATCCCTACCACTATCTTTCAATCCTTCTACACATAACCTCTACTTTATAATTTCCCTTTATACTCTTATAAATCTCTACACCAGACACTACCACTATTAGCCTACCAGCACTTCGCCCATAATGGATATATCTGGATACACCACATTCGACTAGATTGGCTACTATGCTCTAAGCGATGACTATAAGGATGCCGAGTATGATTATATCCTAGCCGATATGGACCTATACCACTTGGGAATCACGGATATGGACATTGCCCAGATGGACTTGCTCTGGGAGGAGCTCTACACTAAGGATGATCTCATTAGTGCCTACTGGGTGGCGGATACCAAGCTTAATGCGGAGCGTATGGATGCACTTGCCAACCACATCTCCCCAGTAGAAGCCTACCTCGCCCAGGAGTAGGAGAGGATTATCGCAGAGGTGGAAGTCCCTATCCCTAAGGGTACCTTTGGGTACTATGGTCGATTCGGATCGCCTTGCCGCATCTTCAACCTCGACTATAACATGGGTTTGCTGGTGGAGACCGGATTCGAGGAGGCAGAGAATAACTTCATTAAGAAGCTCAATCTCTACTTTGGCTATTAATTGGCTCTTCCACGACTATGGCAACCAGTTGTGGATTATCAACATCTGGCCAAACTAACTCGATATGAGTGTTCATTTACCTACTACTATTGCAACCTTCTAATAAATTATTAGCATAGCTTGACCAAGTCCTACTTATGGATAGGCGGATGGTAGGGAGGGTTAGATAGGATAGCAAGATAATGCAATCCAGAATATACCACACTAATTCATTCTATAAATACTACATATAATAGGAGAAGGCCTATACTATGAATACTCAATTACGCTTAAAAATAATTTAGGGTTAGGGTTAGGGTTAGGGTTAGGGTTAGGGTTAGGGTTAGGGTTAAGGGTTAGGGTTAGGGTTAGGGTTAGGGTTAGGGTTAGGGTTAG